CCTACCGCCATAATCTATCTTCCTTGTGTCTTTTGTATAAATACTTTAATGGTAATTGTTCGTCTATTGTATGTGTTGTTTTGGTGTAAGAAATACTGTGGTATATATATATAAAAGGCAGGATGTGTGTGTGTGTGTGTGTGTGTGTGTGTGTGTGTGTGTGTGTGTAACGAATGCACGGCCGCAATTTTCGACGGATTTGCACCAAAATTTACATGCACATGCTCAAGTTAGCGGGAAGGCTAAGACAAACTTTGCATTTCCCAACTCCCATCGATAGTGGAAATAATCGATTTTTCATGCTTCTACGGCAGTTTTCATGTAATTTGCGGCCATTTTATACTGGCCAGAGTGAGAGCCAATAGCTGTCTGCCACGAATAGGCAGGAAGATTCTACTGCTCAGCGTGAGAGCCAACAGCTGACTGACACGAATGTTAACTAGCATGCTAACATACAAAAAAAAATCGATAGCTGTATTCGTCACAAGTGGGAAAAATTTAAATCTGCATGGCACTTTACTCCAATTGGCTCATTCGCTTGCTTAAACTCAACGTTGATTCTGATTCCGCAGAACTGGGTTGTGTGTGAAAAAAGTATTTGTTGTTAAGCATTCTTTTTTACATTCGGTTTTTCCAGTTACGTGTCCTTTTTTAAAGCTGATCGTTTTGTGTTCATTTTGTTTAGTTCTTTTTTCGTAACAGATTTAATGTTTAGTATACAGCTTAGAAAAAATTCGCAGTGTGAGATAGGCAAGAAGTAAGGCATGTAGCAACATCAGCACGGCAAAGGACACTCCTTTAAAGGTAAGGAAGGGCAAAAATATTTTAAGTCAAGTGATAGCGATTGCTGTATGAGTCGTATGATTTTTGAATCAAGCACGGGCAACGACGGGCCATGCTGCTAGTATATGGTAATTGTGGCTAGCTAAGTTTAATAATAAGACAGAAAAAGACCACCATCCTCCTTCTCCCTTTTAGCCTTGTGCCATATTTTTGTATTATTCAAAATAAGTATTACTTTCCTGTATGCTACGTATGAGAACTAGTTAGGACTACATAGAGACTTGAGGTATTATGGTGACTGTAGTAAGAATGGTAAGTAAGAATGTGTTGTTTTCGATGTAAGGATGTGTGTTTGGGCTAGTAATTGTGGATAGTTAAGTTTAATTATAAGACATAAGAATACCACAATCCTCCTCCTCCCATGGCCTTGTGCCACATTTTCGTATTTTACAAAATAAATATTACTTCCGTATATGGTACGTAGACTTTGTGAGTTTAAGCGTAGTGCTGATTTCTCAGCTAGGTATCGTCCTTTTAGAGTTGAAATAAGCTAGATATGTAACCGTAAGTTCTATGTTAGCAGTTTCTTCTCTTGGAATTCTCACTTGTAGAATTCTCTTCCGACTTCTTGTCTCCTGGTCACTTTTGATGTTAAAAAATGTATATATAATGTCAATCGCTATCTTTTATCTTTAATTATCCGTAACTCTTTTTTATTACCCCTCTTGATAGTATAATAGTATTCTTGTTATACACTCTAACAGTAACATATATATATATATATATATATATATATATATATATATGTGTGTGTGTGTGTGTGTGTGTGTGTATGGAGCCTCGTTTCAGATTTATAGAATAAATGCTAATAGATTTAAGTACTGAAAAACACATAACACAGAAAGTAATTTTTTGTGTATTAACAGGCTCCATTTATTTGAATCTTTGTATCCATATATATTAACCAACCTGGCACATGTCAGGTGGTATCCCTCCAGACGAGGCTACGCCCGAAGGTCAGAGTTTCATCTCGGGAAACTGACTCTTTTTTTACGTGGTCCATAGGAAATTTTTACCCGAGCCTGTAGGCTCGGATACCCCACTTTAAAAATCGGCCTTGTGCCACATCCTGCAGCGTGGGGCTGTGGGTAAATAATAATATTAACCAACCAGCGACGTCTCATGAGATTCGCGCTATTCCTTGAATTAGCAGACGGTAAAATATCTTAAAATTAAATCTTAGGGGATCAACTTCAGTATATGTTCAACAATATTTGTCTATCCTTAAACGGAATATATAAAAAATATATATAAGCCAATAAGCTTGCGATAAATAAATCTAAATTTTAGGTTTTTTCGGAAACTACCTAATTATTATAAACATAAACAATTCTTGTTCACTAATCAGTCTTTCAGTTCTCCTTGTCAAAGGTGTTTGATTGTTTGTTACACAAACGAAACAGAAATTAACACAATTAATTACTCACATCTTTCGCTTATTTATTTCTAGTACACAATATTTCAAACTAATGCTTAGCGATAGTTTGTTTACATGCGTCAACAGTCGCATTATAACTTGCAGCCTTTTTCATCCAGTCTAAAACTAGAATTTATACACACAGTGCAAACAATGTAAACTTGTGACATATACATCCGCACACATGAAAAAATAACGTCTAGCTTTTCCTCGCCTTCGTTCATAAGGTCTGCAACTAGAATTCATACACGTTCGACCTATCACATAAATCTACTAGACCTGTCACACACATATGCACACATTTAGACGCATTTTTCTATACTAACACAATTCATTCAGCTGCACTGTAAAAAGGATGCACAAAACATTTTGTGCGAAGTTGTTCACAAAATATTCTTGCAATTCATTTCTTTCAATTTGAAGAAAAAGTAATACCCTAATAAATAAAAATTGTTAAAATTTGTAGATCCGTGTTTGAAGATTAATTTAATTTTTCATATTTTTATATATATATATATATATATATATATATATATATATATATATATATATATATATATAATTGTGATGCAGCAATCCTTGTTTTATGCATGTTTCGCTGAAGACGACTGAGAAGGAAATGCGATTAAACTTTTTTATTGTATATTTTTTCATTCGTGCATTGTAAAATCAGAGTCCGAATCATCTGTGGATACGATTACTTTCAGCTAATCTGCTAGCCATTATAAAAATACGGTTTAGACAAAATCTTCTAGGGACATCATTAGAATTTATTTTTTTAAATTCTTTTGCATCTGTTTTAAGACAGACGGTTTAAAAGTTCTCATTTTTTGTGTGTTTTATTCATTTGAAAAAAATAATACTCAATAAATAGAAATTATTCAAACTTTTATATACTTGTTTGAAGATTAATTTAATTCTTCGTTTATACACTCCTATCCCGCTAAGTATATATATATATATATATATATATATATATATATATATATATATATACATGAAAATATGAAAAATTTCTCAGTGTTAACTTGTAGGAAAAAGACAATATGTATAGAGGTGAAAGACAATGGAAAAACTGTATTAGCTGACGCGCTTTGCCCAATGTGGACTTTTTCAAGGCAAAAACGAAGTGATTTATTGAAAACAAAGTAACTATTAACAACAAAACAAAATATCTTTAGCAACTAGAAGAATTTAGAAAAGGCCATTGTATTCATATTGTCAACTGAAAATTACGTCAAGTACTTTCACGTGTAGAAATATTGGTTTTACTGTTGTGTTGACATATTCAACTATTTTCTTTTCATTTCTTGATACAGTTGTATCAAGAAATCGAAATATGTTTATGATCAGTACCGCTGACTAATATCACATTGCCTCAACACTACTACAGTCACACTCATCATTCCGACCCTCCAGTCGACGAGTTAAGGCTTTCTTTGATTTTCGTCGACTAAGCTAAGTTTAATTAGCCCTTTTTCAATTGATACATTGTGTTAAGACCTTACTCTGTACGGAATAAATTATTTGAAATAGACATTTGAAAAAAATAAATTGAAATAAAAATATGTTCTTTGAAAAACAGAGCATACAAGTCATTAGAAATTTTAAAAAGATTATTTATAAAATTAAAGCAAGAAATACATTGCCTATTAAATGTTTCCAGATCAGATAGGGCTCAGATCTACGTAACCCGACTAGTCACATTAATTTTATTTCATTCTTCTTTCTTTTTTAAAGTGTTCGTATTCGTTGCACTTATAAAATGAAATCTAACGTTTGTATTTTACCGAGTAAAATGCAGACATTCGGTGAATATGGATCATCTGCTTCTGTGTGTCCTGCTCCCAGAGTGTAAGCTCTCCACAACGTCCTTTGCAGCTCTTAGCAATGTTTAACTTTCATTATTCCTCCGAGCCCCAGTTCTGCGATCCATTTGCTCGTTAGGTATGTTGATCAAGGCTCTCCACAACTTCCTATCTTTTGTAGCGCTTAGCAATATTTGCTGTTTCATTATTCCTCCCATTCACTGTTCCGCAATATAATTGCAGAAGTTCTTTAGATAGGTTGATCATGGCTCTCCGCAACTTCCTATCTTTTGAAATTGGTAATGTTTGCGGTTTCATTATTAATCCAATTCCCTGAACTGACAACACATTTCGGAAGATCGGAATGAGTTGTTCTTCTCCTAGACCAGTTGCCACCCAAGGCTACAGAACCTGGTCTGTTGTGCTATTTACCCATAGATCGGGGGTGGGGAGATTGATTCCTCAAAAGTATGAGCACATGAGTGAATGTAATAAACTTGACCTGAATTCGAATTCTGTTTCCGAGCTGCTTTCTGTTACGCTGCCTGTATGTACGGTGTGTGTATGTATGTGAGCTGAGTGCGTGTGTGTGAGTGCGTGTGTGTGTGTGTGTGTGTGAGAGAGAGAGAGAGAGAGAGAGAGAGAGAGAGAGAGAGAGATTTCATTTGGTTTGATTTGGTTTGTTTTACGACATATCAATCTCAATGGGTTATTTAATGCCGACAAGATTTTTATTTTCAAAAACTGTATTGCTGCTAAATTAGTTTTCAGAAAAGTATTGCTGGTAATAATCTTCTACAAAAATGTATTGCTGGTATTAAAACCTATTTTTACATTTTCATAGTGTTTTCAGACCGGTTTCTGGGTTAACTATTTGCCCATAGCTGGGACCCTAACGGAGGCTACCACCCCTAGTCAGGGTGGGCCTGGGAACACCAACACTTAAGAGATGGTTCCAAGCTCCTCAAAACCTTCTGATCAGAAGCCTTGCTGCCGGGTGTAGTTTATCGTTTTACACAGAACGTGAGAGAAAGAGAGATTCATTGAATGTGGCGAATTAGGAACTCAAACATTGACTTACTACCCCTATCCAACACAGTTTAGAATTACTATTGCATCTACACAAGACAAATTATAAAATAGACACAGGGAAATATACTAACAACTAATTTCTTGAAAATGTCTAATGATTGGCCGAAAGCGCTTGAAACAATAGTCGCTGCGGACAGTTGCTACACTTTCTTTGCCCCTAAAAAGGAAAACTGTAATAATGTTAGAATGAATGAATAAAAAAATACATAAACAGTCAAATTCAATACAATATGCAAAATTGAGGTCTAGATATACTATCCCCCCCTCTCTCTCTCTCTCTCTCTATATATATATATATATATATATATGTCACCAACAAGCTTCAGTCTGTATTTATGCATTGCAGTTTTTCATTTGCAAGAGTTATATGTAGCAATTTCGATAATTTCTCTGAGTATCTATCTATCTATCTATCTATCTATCTATCTATCTGTTCTTCTATCTATCTAGCTGTCTTCAATAGCTCTATCTATCTCTTCCCTATCTATCTATCTATCTATCTATCTATCTAAGAATATTCCTATCTTTCTTACTGTCTTCATGTCTGTCTGTCTGTCTGTCTATCTATCTATCTATCCATCTATATTTCTATCTATGTTAGTCTTAGTCTCTTGTTCATATCGACCTATGTATCTCTTTATAGCCAATCTATCTATCTATCTATCTATCTATCTATCTATCTATCTATTCATAAAATGTCAACTTACCCACGTATCTGTTTATCCTATCGCTCCCTTGCGCCCAACTGGCTGTTATTTCTTCTCTTTTTTTGTAGTTTTTCTTTTTTGTTTCTTAGAAAAACATTCCCGCGCATTTTCGGCCTTCTTCTTTTGGCGCGCCTACTCACCACGTGATCTAATGCGAGATTTTGGCGGAATTCAATGACGCAGAATCTTCCGGAACGTTGAATAAATAAGTTTCGTTATACTCAAACCAATCTGAACTTGAGGGAGATAAAAAAAAAAAAAAAAAAAATGATGGCAGAGAGATAGATAGCAAGTTCTGCAGAGAACGAGTGAAGAGAGGGAAAAAGAGAGAGAAAGAGAGGGAAAAACAGAAAGCGAGAGGTGCAGTAGGAGGCAAGGTACTGAGAAAAAGAAAATGATGTTCTGCGGAGAAAAAATAAAAAAAATAAATATTTTCTTTGATAATCCCTCCTACTCTGTCTTCATTCCTTTCCTCTTCCCTCCCTATATCTTTATATCTTTTCTATCTCTTTTACGTCTTTTTCTTCTTTTCCTTTCTTTCTTTCTTTCTTTCTTTTTTACTTTCCCATTATTTTCTATCCCTCTATCCCTCCTCTTTGTTTGTTTGTTTCCTTTTTCTTTCTTTTTTTTTATCATTTTCTACCCATTCACCCTTCCTTTTTCTTTATTTCTTTCTTTTTTCTTCTTTCTTTCTTTCTTTCTTTCTTTCTTTCTTTCTTTCTTTCTTTTACTTTTCCATTATTTTCTATCCCTCCTCTTTCTTTCTTTGTTTGTGTTTCTTTTTCATTATTTTCTACCCATTCACCCTTCCTTTTTCTTTATTTCTTTCTTTTTTCTTTCTTTCTTTCTTTCTTTCTTTCTTTCTTTTACTTTCCCATTATTTTCTATCCCTCCTCTTTCATTGTTTGTGTTTCTTTCTTTTTCATTATTTTCTACCAATTTACCCTTCCTTTTTCTTTCTTTCTTTCTTTCTTTCTTTCTTTCTTTCTTTCTTTCTTTCTTTGCGCCTGATGGTAGTCCCGAAAGAGAAATTTTCAGACTGATTTTGAACGGGAACAGTTTCTTTACTCTCACTTCCCGACTGCCGAAATTCCTTCCGATTTCTTGCTTCCCTGATAACTACAATGCTAAAAAGATTTGAACGCCGCCTTCTGTGTGTGTGTGTGTGTGTGTGTGTGTGTCTTAAGGAAGTGCTTTACTGATCAAACCAAATTCATGAATAATTATATAGGACATACAACTACATGCCTATCAAGAAGAGCCACACTACATCTCTCTGACCATAACTCGATTCAAACTCATTTAAACAGACACAGAAATATGCTAAACTCCATCCGCAACATACTTGTAGAAAATATTAGTATAACAGCCGTGGTGATACTAACTCAAGTATTCGAAACCCAACGACTTCTGCACGAAGAGCCGCGTTTCTTTCCCCAAGCCGCTCCCTCCAGAGCTTTAGAAGCTGAATTACTATATATATATATATATATATATATATATATATATATAGAGAGAGAGAGAGAGATATTAAGTAACGATAATTCCAAGGAGGATGAAATCCTCAGAGCTCAATGCTAAGTCAGAGCGAATAATTTAATTTAAAGAAGAACAGACGACTTTAAGGCTCCATTTGTTATAATTTATTTCACCAGAGAATTTTATTTGTGTCTGGATCTTCAGACTTCACTTTCAAAAGGTGAAAAGAAAAATGAAATTAAAATTTACACTTTTAACGGGCAGTATCAAACTTATATAAGTTGACATAGAAGGTAGCGAGGGATGGTGTGAGAGACATGGTCGAGTTTAAAGAAGGAAGTGAGAGTTTTAAAATTTATTTTTATATTTCTTTTTTTAATAATACTTAATATTGACAAAGGAGGAGTAAAGATCAGACATTGACACACACACACATATATATATATATGTATGTTTGTGCGTGTGTGTCAATGTTATATATATATATATATATATATATATATATATATATATATATTAGGTTTTTGCCCTTAGCTATCCTTCGTAAATAATATATATTCACTACTTGAAATCTTTGAAACAATAATTTTAAATGAACATTTCATTCATAAATTGGCTTGTTATAGTTCAGGAAAGTTTTACAAATAGATGCCAACTTGCTGAAGCACAAGAAAAATGCAAATTTCAAACATTTTTCTGTACTATATAAGACGATATTCATAAACAGAACTATTTTTGATATGAAATCCTCGAATGAAGGCCATTAATGAAGGACAATTCATTAATTAAATAAACTTTTTAAAACTCAATATACAAATTTGTTAAACGTGAAGAGTGATATCACCTAGAAGTAGATAATATATATAGATACTGCGCCTTCAGTGTATAAATTACGATAAGTAATTTGTACACATTATTTATCATCTCTCAGTTGTGTCTCTGTCTTTAGGCAGAGTGCGCTCATGGGCTTCTCTGTCAAAGGACAGAGGGGCAACTGAGAAAATTATACTGAAGAGGTGCCCAGCCCTGGGGAACAGCTGCCCGATGCTGCGCCCTCCCATTGCACAAGAGGGAGGGATCGGTGCTCGCACCGAGGCCTGCGGAACCGACAGTTGCGGGGGCTGTAGGGAATTTTTGTCACTGCCCGTGTGTACGCGCTCGGGTCCCCACATTAAAAAGACCTTCTGTCACCTCTCATTCTCGTGGGGGAATGAGTAAACACCGTATATATTACTATAAAGTAGGGGCTTTTAAATCTCAGAATTCGTGGGAGAATTTAACTCCAATTTCGTATTTATTCATATAGATTCCATAATATAGGTTTTACTTAATTAGCTATTATGTTTCTCTAACTCTTCAAATGTTGAATGTATAACTAATTCCAATTTCTATTTTCGCATCTTTATACTATATTAATCATACTTATTATAAAACCCAGTTTGTGTGTGTGTGTCTGTTCGTTTATATATTGGATCGGGTTTCTTACATTTTTCAACCGACTTCAACAAAACTTCACAGGACTACGTAAAATTACCTTGCGGTTGTTCTGACAGCGCCAAAAATTGGAAAAACACAATTGTTTTTGCACAAAATCAATTTGAAAACACGATTAAGAGACACCGCTGTCGCGAGAATGAAAGGGGGACAACTCATATCGAGTTATACTTATTATAAAACCCAGTTTGTCTGTATGTGTGTGTGTGTTCGTTTATATATGGGATCGGATTTCCTACATTTTTCAACCGATTTCAACAAAACTTCACTTTTTTTGGCAGGTAGTGTTTCTTATTGTCTTGCACACTTTTTTCTTTATTTTTACATTCAGAATGCTTTAAAAATTCCATTTACAAGACAATTGTTTATAATAAAATTCTATTCAATCGATAGACTCATAACGATTGAAAACAATGTTTTTTGTTTGAGTTTGGGTTTGACTAATTCGCAAAAAAATAACAAAAAATACAAAACAAAACAAAACTAATTAAGACATGCGTGTCCGTCAACCTTAAACATTAATCTTTGTCAATTTTATTTTTCAGTCTTTATGATGGTCGATACTTGATCTATCTCTTACTGTTACATCCCCGGGCAACTCCGGGCTCTACTGCTAGTTTTATATAAACAGTGTAACTATAAACAATTTCTTTTCTATCCTCTGCCAGCCGCAATGATGGAGAAAGCATTACCTCGAACCATGGCCAGTGAGACACACTGTAAGAGCCACTCTGTTTCCCGAGGCTCGTCCCTTAATCAAGACGCCTTCGCGCCAATCCTCCGAAGGAACGCCATCAAACGAGGGCCAATAACCCCTGAAGTCTCCACTGCCACAGGAGTAAAAAAAAAATCTATCAGAAAAAGAAGAATATTTAACTATTTTTTCATCTCTGCGTCATATTTAGGATAGAAAAAATTGCTTATAGTTACGTTGTTCTGGAATTGTTATCAGTGGTCAACTGAACTTGTTTTGTTTCAATAAATTTTTCTTGAATTGTTGGAAAAAAATTTATTCGAAATGCAAAATTCTTTATTACAATAAAAATGTTAAAATTTAAAAGAGAAAATACAGACGCACAAAAAATTATCTAATAAATTGTCCCCCTGTTTTGTCAACCATAAAATAAAAATTATTGTTTGTACTGAAAGTAAGGATCTACGTACATCAAATCGTCTTTAAATTAAGTGGCAGCAGAAGAATTATCGTTGAACTTTTAAAAGGTAACCTTAAACATTAATTCAATACTTACATGCAGCAATCAATTTTGAGCTCTGTAATTTATCGCATCTACTTCTCCCTAGCTGTTGTGATAATGGCCAAGCCAAAAGTCCTCCACGGGAGCTAGCTTAAATGCCACCCGATAGGGTTTCATTTAAATTAGTTTATAATAAAACGTGCACTGCAATTTTGGATACAAAAGGGAAATAAGAGTTACTCCCCTTGAACCATGACAGCTACGATAATGAAAAGTATAATATATTAATATATATTTTTAACCTCGCATAATCTGGCAACCCTGAATCTGAGCTCAACGAAAATCGTTCCCTGCGCCTAACATTTGTAGGGCTTTTGAATGAGCTATGAATCATTGAAATTGAGCCAGTGGGAGCGTAGGACATGCTTGCACTCACGCTGTACTCTATATATAAGATATATGTAAACGAAAATATATGAAAAGATACATGAACTTAAGTATACAAAATCCGTGGCAGAAGTTTCGGTTCAAAGAATTTGTTTCTCAAATCCTTTACTTGATCTATACAGAACTCTTGTTACACTTGGGTGGACTGAACCTATCCCAACTTACAGTGCACCAACGAGCACACTTTCTTGACCGCACACTAATCAGCTGCCCGTCCTTTTTATGAACCGAATGAGCTGAACTATTATTATTATTATTATTATTAGCGTAGTAGTAGTCAGAGTGGTAGGAGAAGTGGTGGTGATAATCGTGGGAGAAGTAATTGCATTTTTTTGGCATATTATGAGAGGCTTGGCCACTTCAGATGGAACTGTTTGGTGCGCGTCTTAGATTGTTTATTTGACTTTTTCACCCTTTTCTTTTCTATATTAGGTTCTTTCTTTCTTTCTTTCTACATGTACTTTCTTTTTTCTTTCTTTCTCTAATTTATTATACGATTTTTTCTTCTTTCCTTATACTTTCTTTCTTTCTTTTTACATCTTATTTCTTTCTTATTTCTTTCTTTCTACATTATTTTATTATATCCGTTTTTCTTTCTTTCTTTTTTCTTTCTACATGTTCTTTCTTACTTTCTTTTTTCTTTCTTTCTATATTATTTTATAGCCATTTTCTTTTTCTTTCTTTATTTCTTTCTTTTTTCTTTCTTCCTATATGATTTTATTAATTTATCATAACCCTTTCTTTCTATCTTTCTTCTTTCTTTCTTTCTTTCTTTCTTTCTTTCTTTCTTTCTTTCTTTCTTTTACTCCATAGTTTCTTAGGTTTTCTTTCTTCTTTGTCCTCATTCCTTTTCTTTTTTTCTTTCTTTTTTTCTTTCTTTCTTTCTTTTTTTACTCCATAGTTTCTTAGTTTTTCTTTCTTCTTTGTCCTCATTCCTTTTCTTTTTTTCTTTTTTTTTCTTTCTTTCTTTTTTACTCCCATAGTTTCTTAGGTTTTTCTTTCTTTGTCTTTTTCCTTTTCTTTCTTTTTCTTTTTTTTTTTCTTTCTTTCTTTCTTCTTTCTTTTTACTCCATAGTTTCTTAGGTTTTTTCTTTCTTCTTTGTCCTCATTCCTTTTCTTTTTTTCTTTCTTTTTTCTTTCTTTCTTTCTTTTACTCCATAGTTTCTTAGGTTTTCTTTCTTCTTTGTCCTCATTCCTTTTCCTGTTCTTTCTTTCTTTCTATCTTTCTTTCTTTCTTTCTTTCTTTCTTTCTTTGTTTCTATATTATTTCATTAATTTTTTAAACCCTTTTCTTTCTTTCTTTTTTTTCATTTTTACTATTTTCTCTTTGCTTTTACATTTTCCTTGTTTCTTTTTTCTTTCTTTCTTTCTTTCTTTCTTTCTTTTACTCCATCGTTTCTTAGGTTTTCTTTCTTCTTTGTCTTCATTCCTTTTCCTCTTTCTTTCTTTCTTTCTTTCTTTCTTTTCTTTTCTTTCTTTTTCTTTCTTTCTTTTACTCCATAGTTTCTTAGGTTTTCTTTCTTCTTTGTCCTCATTCATTTTCCTCTTTTCTTTTCTTTTTTTTTCTTTCTTTTCATCTTTCTTTTTACTCCATAGTTTCTTAGGTTTTCTTTCTTCTTTGTCTTCATTCCTTTTCTCTTCTTTTTCTTTTCTTTCTTTCTTTCTTTCTTTTTACTCCATAGTTTCTTAGGTTTTCTTTCTTTCTTTTGTCCTCATTCCTTTTCTTTCTTTCTTTCTTTTTTCTTTCTATCTTTCTTTTCTTTCTTTCTTTCTTTCTTTCTTTCTTTCTTTTACTCCATAGTTTCTTAGGTTTGGTTTCTTCTTTGTCTTCATTCCTTTTCCTATTTTTTCATTCTTTCTTTCTTTCTTTCTTTCTTTCTTTCTTTTTTTCTTTCTATATTATTTCATTAATTTTTTAAACCCTTTTCTTTCTTTCTTTCTTTTTCATTTTTACTATTTTCTCTTTGCTTTTACATTTTCCTTGTTTCTTTCTTTCTTTTTTTCTTTCTTTCTTTCTTTTACTCCATAGTTTCTTAGGTTTTCTTTCTTCTTTGTCTTCATTCCTTTTCCTCTTTCTTTCTTTCTTTCTTTCTTTCTTCCTTTTACTCCATAGTTTCTTAGGTTTTCTTTCTTCTTTGTCCTCATTCCTTTTCTTTCTTTCTTTCTTTTTTCTTTCTTTCTTTCTTTTACTCCATAGTTTCTTAGGTTTTCTTTCTTCTTTGTCTTCATTCCTTTTTTATTTTTCTTTCTTTCTTTCTTTCTTTCTTTCTTTCTTTTACTTCATAGTTTCTTAGGTTTTCTTTCTTCTTTGTCCTCATTCCTTTTCTTTTTTTCATTCTTTTTTCTTTCTTTCTTTCTTTTACTCCATAGTTTCTTAGGTTTTCTTTCTTCTTTGTCCACATTCCTTTTCTTTCTTTCTTTCTTTTTTCTTTCTTTCTTTCTTTTACTCCATAGTTTCTTAGGTTTTCTTTCTTCTTTGTCTTCATTTCTTTTCCTGTTCTTTCTTTCTTTCTTTCTTTCTTTTTTTCTTTCTATATTATTTCATTAATTTTTAAACCCTTTTCTTTTTTCTTTCTTTTTTCATTTTTACTATTTTTCTTTTTTTACATTTTCCTTGTTTTCTTTCTTTTTCTTTTTCTTTCTTTTCTTTCTTTTCTTTTCTTTCTTTTTACTCCATAGTTTCTTAGGTTTTCTTTCTTCTTTGTCTTCATTCCTTTTCCTCTTTCTTTCTTTCTTTCTTTTACTCCATAGTTTCTTAAATTCCTTTTCTTTCTTTCTTTTCTTTCTTTCTTTCTTTTCTTTCTTTTTTTTTACTCCAATGTTTCTTAGGTTTTTCTTTCTTCTTTGTCCTCATTCCTTTTCTTTTCTTTTTTTTTCTTTCTTTCTTGTCTTTTTAAATCATAGTTTCTTAGGTTTTCTTTCTTTTTGTCCTCATTCCTTTTCTTTCTTTTCTTTCTTTCTTTCTTTCTTTTTTTCTTTTTTTTTTTTTTACTCCATAGTTTCTTAGGTTTTTTTTCTTCTTTGTCTTATTACCTTTCTTTTCTTTCTTTTTTCTTTCTTTCTTTCTTTTTCTTTCTTTCTTTTTTTACTCCAATGTTTTAGTATTTCTTTCTTCTTTTGTCCTCATTCCTTTTCTTTTTTTTTTCTTTTTTCTTTCTTTCTTTCTTTTACTCCATAGTTTCTTAGGTTTTCTTTCTTCTTTGTTCTTTTCTTTTTTCTTTCTTTCTTTTTTCTTTTTCTTTCTTTTTTTTACTCCATAGTTTCTTAGGTTTTCTTTCTTCTTGTCTTCATTTCCTTTTCTTTCTTTCTTTCTTTCTTTCTTTCTTTCTTTCTTTCTTTCTTTCTTTCTTTTTACTCCAATGTTTCTTAGGTTTTTTTCTTCTTTCTTTGTCCTCATTCCTTTTCTTTTTTTCTTTCTTTTTTCTTTTCTTTTCTTTCTTTTCTTTAGTTTCTTAGGTTTTCTTTCTTCTTTGTCCTCATTCCTTTTGTTTCTTTCTTTCTTTTTTCTTTCTTTCTTTCTTTTTACTCCATAGTTTCTTTTTTTTTTTTTTTTCTTTGTCTTCATTTCCTTTTCTTTCTTTCTTTCTTTCTTTTCTTTCTTTCTTTCTTTTCTTTCTTTTTCTCCAATGTTTCTTAGGTTTTCTTTCTTCTTTGTCCTCATTCCTTTTTTTTTTTCTTTTTTTTTTTCTTTTTCTTTCTTTTTTTACTCCATAGTTTCTTGGGTTTTCTTTCTTCTTTTTGTCCTCATTCCTTTTCTTTCTTTCTTTTTCTTTTTTTTTTCTTTCTTTCTTTACTCCATAGTTTCTTAGGTTTTCTTTCTTCTTTGTCTTCATTCCTTTTTTTCTTTTCTTTCTTTCTTTCTTTCTTTCTTTTTCTTTCTTTTCTTTCTTCCTTTTACTCCATAGTTTCTTAGGTTTTCTTTTTCTTTGTCCTTTCATTCCTTTTCTTTCTTTCTTTCTTTTCTTTCTTTCTTTTTTAATTCTTAGGTTTTAGGTTTTTTTCTTTTTGTCTATTTCTTTTTTATTTTTTTCTTTCTTTTTCTTTCTTTCTTTCTTTCTTTCTTTTCTTTCTTTTCTTTCTTTTACTTTCATAGTTTCTTAGGTTTTCTTTCTTCTTTGTCCTCATTCCTTTTTTTTTTCTTTTTTTTTTCTTTCTTTCTTTTTTTTTACTCCATAGTTTCTTAGGTTTTTCTTTCTTCTTTGTCTTCATTCCTTTTCTTTTTTTTCTTTCTTTTTTCTTTCTTTCTTTCTTTTTCTCCATAGTTTCTAGGGTTTCTTTCTTCTTTGTCCTCATTCCTTTCTTTTTTTTTTTCTTTTTTTTTTTCTTTCTTTCTTTTTACTCCATAGTTTCTTAGGTTTTCTTTCTTCTTTGTCTTCTTTCCTTTTCTTTTTTTTTTTCTTTCTTTCTTTCTTTCTTTCTTTTTTTTCTTTAAACTCCTTAGTTTCTTGGGTTTTCTTTCTTCTTTGTCCTCATTCCTTTTCTTTTTCTTTCTTTTTCTTTCTTTCTTTCTTTTACTCCATAGTTTCTTAGGTTTTTTTCTTCTTTGTCCATATTCCTTTTCTTTCTTTTTTTTTTTTTTTTCTTTCTTTTTACTCCATAGTATCTTAGGTTTTCTTTCTTCTTTGTCTTCATTCCCTTTTCCGCTTTCTTTTCTTTCTTTCTTTCTTTCTTTCTTTTCTTTCTTTCTTTTTTATTAGTTTCTTAGGTTTTTTTCTTCTTTGTCCTCATTCCTTTCTTTTTTTTCTTTCTTTTTTCTTTTTTCTTTCTTTTTTACTAGTTTCTTAGGGTTTTCTTTCTTCTTTGTCTTCATTTCCTTTTCCTTTCTTTCTTTCTTTCTTTCTTTCTTTTCTTTCTTTTTTTTCTTTCTATATTTTTCATTAGTTTTTTAAACCCTTTTTTTCTTTCTTTTCTTTCTTTCATTTTTTATTTTCTCTTGCTTTTACATTTTCCTTGTTTTCTTTCTTTTTTCTTTCTTTCTTTCATCTTTCTTTTACTCCATAGTTTCTTAGGTTTTCTTTCTTCTTTGTCTTCATTCCTTTTCCTCTTTCTTTCTTTCTTTCTTTCTTTCTTTCTTTCTTCTTTTTACTCCATAGTTTCTTAGGTTTTCTTTCTTCTTTGTCCTCATTCCTTTTCTTTCTTTCTTTCTTTTTTCTTTCTTTCTTTTTTACTCCATAGTTTCTTAGGTTTTCTTTCTTCTTTGTCTTCATTCCTTTTTTATTTTTTTTCTTTTCTTTCTTTCTTTCTTTCTTTTTTTCATAGTTTCTTAGGTTTTCTTTCTTCTTTTTTTTTTCTTTCTTTCTTTTTTTTACTCCATTCTTTTCTTAGGTTTTCTTTCTTTGTCCATTTTCTTTTCTTTCTTTCTTTTTTTCTTTCTTTTCTTTCTTTTACTCCAATGTTTCTTAGGTTTTCTTTCTTCTTTGTCTTCATTTCTTTTCCTGTTCTTTTTTCTTTCTTTCTTTTTTTTTTCTTTTTATTATTGGATTAATTTTTTAAACCCTTTTCTTTCTTTCTTTCTTTTTCATTTTTACTATTTTCTCTTTGCTTTTACATTTTCCTTGTTTCTTTCTTTCTTTTTTCTTTCTTTCTTTTTTTTCTTTCTTTCTTTCTTTTACTCATAGTTTCTTAGGTTTTCTTTCTTATTTGTCTTTCCTTTTCTTTTTCCTCTTTCTTTCTTTCTTTCTTTCTTTCTTTCTTTTACTCCATAGTTTCTTAGGTTTTCTTTCTTCTTTGTCTTCATTCCTTTTCTTTTTCTTTCTTTCTTTCTTTCTTTTCTTTTTACTTTTCCAATGTTTCTTAGGTTTTCTTTTCTTCTTTGTCCTCATTCCTTTTCTTTTTTTCTTTCTTTTTTTTTTTCTTTCTTTCTTTTACTCCATAGTTTCTTAGGTTTTTCAATTCTTTGTCCTCATTTTTTTTTTTCTTTCTTTCTTTTTTTTTCTTTCTTTCTTTCTTTTACTCCATAGTTTCTTAGGTTTTTCTTTCTTCTTTGTTTCATTTCCTTTTCTTTCTTTCTTTTCTTTCTTTCTTTCTTTTTTCTTTCTTTCTTTCTTTAACTCCAATGTTTTCTTAGGTTTTCTTTCTTCTTTGTTTTCATTTCTTTTCTTTTTTCTTTTTTTTTCTTTCTTTTTTTCTTTCTTTTCTTTGTTTCTTTTCTTTTCTTTCTTCTTTTCGTCATTCCTTTTCTTTCTTTCTTTCTTTTTTCTTTCTTTCTTTCTTTTACTCCATAGTTTCTTAGGTTTTCTTTCTTCTTTGTCTTCATTCCTTTTCTTTCTTTCTTTCTTTCTTTCTTTCTTTCTTTCTTTCTTTCTTTCTTTTACTCCAATGTTTCTTAGGTTTTCTTTCTTCTTTGTCCTCATTCCTTTTCTTTTTTTCTTTCTTTTTTCTTTCTTTCTTTCTTTTACTCCATAGTTTCTTAGGTTTTCTTTCTTCTTTGTCCTCATTCCTTTTCTTTCTTTCTTTCTTTCTTTTTTCTTTCTTTCTTTCTTTTACTCCATAGTTTCTTAGGTTTTCTTTCTTCTTTGTCTTCATTCCTTTTCTTTCTTTCTTTCTTTCTTTCTTTCTTTCTTTCTTTCTTTCTTTCTTTTACTCCATAGTTTCTTAGGTTTTCTTTCTTCTTTGTCCTCAAATTTTCTTTTACTCCATAGTTTCTTAGGTTTTCTTTCTTCTTTGTCCTCATTCCTTTTCTTTCTTTCTTTCTTTTTTTTTTTTTCTTTCTTTCTTTTTTACTATAGTTTTGGGTTTCTTTCTTTTTCTTCATTCCTTTCTTTCTTTCTTTTTTCTTTCTTTCTTTTTTTTCTTTCTTTTTTCTTTCTTTCTTTCTTTTACTCCATAGTTTCTTAGGTTTTCTTTCTTCTTTGTCCTCATTCCTTTTCTTTTTTCTTTCTTTTTTTTTCTTTTCTTTTTTTACTCCATAGTTTCTTAGGTTTTCTTTCTTCTTTGTCTTCATTCCTTTTTATTTTTCTTTCTTTCTTTCTTTCTTTCTTTCTTTCTTTCTTTTACTCCATAGTTTCTTAGGTTTTCTTTCTTCTTTGTCCTCATTCCTTTTCTTTTTTTTCTTTCTTTTTTCTTTCTTTCTTTCTTTTACTCCATAGTTTCTTAGGTTTTCTTTCTTCTTTGTCTTCATTCCTTTTCTTTTTTTCTTTCTTTTTTCTTTCTTTCTTTCTTTTACTCCATAGTTTCTTAGGTTTTCTTTCTTCTTTGTCCTCATTCCTTTTCTTTTTTTCTTTCTTTTTTCTTTCTTTTACTCCATAGTATCTTAGGTTTTCTTTCTTCTTTGTCTTCATTCCTTTTCCGCTTTCTTTCTTTCTTTCTTTCTTTCTTTCTTTCTTTTTACTCCATAGTTTGGTTTTTTCTTTCTTTGTCCTCATTCCTTTTCTTTTTCTTTCTTTTTTCTTTCTTTCTTTCTTTTACTCCATAGTTTCTTAGGTTTTCTTTTTCTTCTTTGTCTCATTCCTTTTTTTTTTTTTCTTTCTTTTTTCTTTCTTTTTACTCCATAGTTCTTAGGTGTTCTTTCTTTTTTGTCCTCATTACATTCTTTTTTTTTTTTCTTTTTTTCTTTCTTTCTTTCTTTTTACTCCATAGTTTCTTAGTTTTTCTTTTTCTTTTCTTCATTCCTTTTCCTTTTCTTTCTGTCTTTTTTCTTTCTTTTTTTTTTTTTTTCTTAGGTTTTCTTTCTTCTTTGTCCTCATTCCTTTTTTCTTTTTCTTCTTTTTTCTTTCTTTTACTCCATAGTATCTTAGGTTTTCTTTCTTCTTTTCTTTCATTCCTTTTCCTTTCTTTCTTTTCTTTCTTTCTTTCTTTCTTTTCTTTTTCTTTCTTTCTTTCTTTCTTTCTTTCTTTTACTTCATAGTTCCTTTTTTTTTCTTTTTGTTCATTCCTTTTTTTTTTTTTCTTTCTTTTTTCTTTCTTTCTTTCTTTTACTCCATAGTTTCTTAGGTTTTCTTTCTTCTTTGTCTTCATTTCCTTTTCCTTCTTTCTTTTTCTTTTCTTTCTTTCTTTCTTTTTACTCCATAGTTTCTTAGGTTTTCTTTCTTCTTTGTCTCATTCCTTTTCTTTTTCTTTCTTTCTTTCTTTTTTCTTTCTTTCTTTCTTTCTTTCTTTTTACTCCATAGTTTCTTAGGCTTTCTTTCTTCTTTGTCCTCATTCCTTTTCCTTTTTCTTTCTTTTTCTTTCTTTCTTTCTTTTACTCCATAGTTTCTTAGGTTTTCTTTCTTCTTTGTCTTCTTCGTTTTCTTTCTTTCTTTCTTTCTTTCTTTTCTTTCTTTCTTTCTTTCTTTTTTCCTTTCTTTCTTTCTTTCTTTCTTCTTTGTTTCTTTTCTTTTTTTTCTTTCTTTTTTTTCTTTCTTTCTTTTTGCTCTAGTTTCTTAGGTTTTCTTTCTTCTTTTTTCATTCCTTTTCTTTCTCTTTCTTTCTTTTTTCTTTTTTCTTTCTTTTTTTCTTTCTTTCTTTTTTACTCCATAGTTTCTTAGGTTTTCTTTCTTCTTTGTCCTCATTCCTTTTCTTTTTTCTTTTTTTTTTCTTTCTTTTACTCCATTTCTTAGGTTTTCTTTCTTCTTTCTTTTCCTTTTCTTTCTTTTTTCTTTCTTTCTTTCTTTCTTTCTTTTTTCTTTCTTTTCTTTGTTTCTTAGGTTTTTCTTTCTTCTTTTTTCTTTCCTTTTTTTTTCTTTCTTTTTTCTTTCTTTCTTTCTTTTACTCCATAGTTTCTTAGGTTTTCTTTCTTCTTTGTCTTCATTCCTTTTCCGCTTTCTTTCTTTCTTTCTTTCTTTCTTTCTTTCTTTTACTCCATAGTTTCTTAGGTTTTCTTTCTTCTTTGTCCTCATTCCTTTTCTTTTTTCTTTCTTTCTTTCTTTCTTTCTTTCTTTCTTTCTTTCTTTCTTTTACTCCATAGTTTCTTAGGCTTTCTTTCTTCTTTGTCCTCATTCCTTTTCCTTCTTTCTTTCTTTTTTCTTTCTTTCTTTCTTTTACTCCATAGTTTCTTAGGTTTTCTTTCTTCTTTGTCTTCATTCCTTTTACTCTTTCTTTCTTTCTTTCTTTCTTTCTTTCTTTCTTTCTTTCTTTCTTTCTTTCTCCATGTTTTTCTTTCTCTTTCCATGCTCACAATACCCCCTTTCTTTATCTCTTCCTGTTTCCCTTTCTTACCTCATTTCACCTACTTCTCTTCTTTTCTTCACTCCTGTACAACGTCTTCTTTTCTGCTGCTTCTTGGTATATAAATAAACCCGTAGATGGCTGCCTGATCACGACCTTACATGCATAATAGGTCTGCGAATGTGTATTTTGACCAGAAACTGTTGTGAAACCTTCTTTTAGCATTACAATGTTTCATTAAAAGTAACCGCTAAGTTACTTCGTTTATCAGTGTTTTTTTATTTGGTTTTTTTTAATGGTAAAAAGTTTTTCTGCATATTCTTCAGCTCTTTTTTATCTTTGGCATGATGAAGTTCTTTTCCTATTATTTTTTATTTAATCACATTTACGCCTCAGTGAAAATAAAATACTTATACGAATACAAGAAAATTTAAATAAATATCTTAACGTATTTGACGGCATATAAAAGTTGTATATATATATATTTTTAAATAAATATATCTTTTTAAATTCTCCCTCGTCTTGCCATATTTTTTTTTAAAATTCGCGATAGTCGGCCCGAAATAATCATCTTGGCAACTCCTATTAACAGACTTAAAATGAAGGAACAATGGAACATTATACTGAATAGCAACTTTACACTTACAGGAAGAATAAAAAAGACCCAGCATTGCATAAGTCTGCGAATGGGGAAGCATGCTTGGGATGATATTAGACCAGAAACTGTTGTGAAATCTTTTAAAAAGTGAACAGGATGTTTCATGCTAAGACGCAATCGTCAGGCCACGAGTTTTGTTTTTTCTCGGCTATTTATATATTTATATATCTCGGCTATTTATTTCATTATTATGTACATAAATAGCCGCAAAAATAAAAGTGAACATAGAAGTCAACACTCAGGTGGCCTGACAATTCAGGCCACGAGTTTTGTTTTTCTCTAACTATTTATATATGAATCTCTCTAAAGTGTTGATTTCAAGGTTCACTTTTTATATATATATATATATATATATATATATATATATATATATATATATATATATAAATTGCAAATAATTGAAATTCAAAAATATCCCATCTGAATGGCCACTTCGCCTTAAGAGCTTCTCAACACTAAAAAGTTAGATAAAATAAAATAAATATGAAACCTTACTTTTTTTTAAAAATTAAATAAGAGACAGAAAGAAAAAATAGGAGAGGAAAAGAAAAGAAAAAAAAAACTACAAATAAGGGAAAAGAGATCAGTTTTAATATTTTACATTATGAAGATTCACTTGGATTACTTACTCAGGGACTTTTATCATCTCGTTGAAAAAGCACACAGGCGTGTCCGAAAATTCCGACACTTTAAATCTTTCTCTTTCTGCTTCATAAACGTTTATCCTATCCATTTTGACAGTAACCCTCAACACTACAATCTTCAAGTCAAGGGTAACTCGTTATTTATCCTCCTTATCCTCAGAATCTTTACTCCTTGCTACCTTCTCTTTTATTTGATAGCCTCATCCATTATAACCATTTTAACAGTTGTCGTCGTCTTCGGCATCCGTCCGTCTCGAGAGACGATGGAGTAGCACGTTGCTGTACGAGGGGATATATGGTGAACTAGGGCTGCCCAGACGTCTAGTTCCCCTTACTATCAGAGTCCAAAGGAGAAGATAAACCAATACAGTTTGGTACCAGCGCTGCTCAGGAGTTGCCAGAAGGTAGCACAAAGTGACGTCCATCCGCCTTAGGGGATCCACTCCGGGGTTTGAATTCAGGGTTGTCCTTCTCCTAGACTAGTTGCCATCCAAGACTATAGAACCCGGTCTGTCCTTCTATTCACCCATAGCTGGAGGGAGAAGAAGAGGATTCACACCTTTCCCAAGGGTATTAGAACGTAAGTAAAACGTAATGCATTCGACTGGAATTCGAACTCGGCTCTCCGATTCCTCATTCCAATCCGCTATCCAATAAGAGAAAAGAAACATGATTGACGAGGCAGATTTTTTCCCGCAGTAGGTTGTCATTTCTTTCTGCGGTAGACCACTTGCCATCCAAGGCTATAGAACCCGGTTTGTCCTGCTAGTTACCTATAGCTGGATGAAGGAGAAGACGATTCACACCTTTCCCAAGGGTAATAGTACCTAAGTGAATGTAATGGATTCGACTGGAATTCGAACTCGGCTTTCCAATTTCATTATCCAAGCCGCTATCCATTACTCCACCGTGCCTCCTATTTTAACAGGAACCCTCTACATAATAGTGTTTACCTCTTCAAGTCAAGCATCAACCTTTATCTTCCTTCTCTATTCTCATAACCTTTACATGCTACTGTCTCCTCTTACATTTATACCATACACCTCATTCAGTAAGCCTCTACCTTGAAAGACTCTCGGGTTTTCTATTAGGTGACTTTTAGTAAAATGAAGAATTAGATAAGTAAACGTAAATTGATATTGTTTAAAAGCATTTTCGATGTAATTGTCTGGAAACAGCAAACAAATTCGTCCGACAAGCAGTGGCCATTTTTTTTTTGAAGGTCAAATGTCCGGTCTGATTTCACTGGTCTAATTTGATTAATGACATTCTCTCAGTGGTAATGATCTTAAGTTGGTTAATTAACTCTAATTTTGGAGAAAGGCCGTCATTTTCGGAACGAGGTGGCAGAAGACAAATTAAACGTTCGTCTTCCCTTGTCTGCTGGGCGGGATGGTTTTAGTCATGTGTAAGCTTGCTTGAACAAACACGACCAAGCCAAAGTCTCTCTCTCTCTCTCTCTCTCTCTCTCTGTTTCTCTCAAACAAACACACACGCACGCAAGCACAAACACTCAAATACACTTACATTTTATACTCTGTTTCCTTCTTACCTGAATGTTTGAGCCAATGCCTTGGTTAGTTGTAAGCAAACTGCGGCCCGACTGGCTTTCAAAATGGCGCGCAGGTCGTCAATTCATAATGCAGTTCTCTGACATCAAATATGACCACGTGAAAGAAATGTTCTCAACAGATGCATATGTTGAAATGCATTGGAATATTTTGTGACTGGTTTGAAATGTAATTTTGTGGCGTGTGGGTTGTTTTGTTTTAATGTAGATAGCCTCCAATATGTTAAGGTTCTTTTTACTGTGTGTATATGTGAGTATTGTTGTGTTATCAACTAATATCTCTCTAATATGTCTTTGTTTTTATTTTATATATATATATATATATATATATATATATATATATATATATATATTAAAAATTGACAAAAGTCCGACAATTTATTTATTAAAGACATTTTATGTTTAACGTTCTTTTTATAGATACAAGTATTTCAGTAAATGCTCTGTTTATAATAAACAGTATTAAACGGCATTCAGGCCGGTAAATGTTATTTAATACTGTTTATTATAAACAAACATTATTTAATACTGTTTATTATAACAGAGCATTATAAAATATATATATATATATATATATATATATATATATATATATATATAATAATAATAATAATAAAAAGGCTTAAACACTAATATCCCATGGTCCACTACGTAAATAGATTTACCACTAATATTATCAATGTATATATATATATATATATATATATATATATATATATATTAAAAAAACGAAATGGATTTATTGAAAACAAAGTAACTATTAACAACAAGCAAAATGTCCTTAGCAACTAGAAGAGTTTAGATAACGCTATTGTATCCATATTGTCAAATGAAAATTAAGTCAAGTACTGTTATGTGTGGAAATATTGTTTTTATTGTTGTGTTGACGGATTCAACAATTTTCGTTTGATTTCTTGATGAAGTTATGTATGTTGGCTTGGGAGAGCAGTAATTCTGTTTAGAAAAATTGATATTGGGAAAAAAAAAACCTGGGCGTAGAATAGATCTTTTTTTTTAACAAATTCATTTCGTGGACGAAATATTGGACGAAACGCGTCGGCTGATAAAACGGTTTTCCTATTGTCTTTTACCTTTACACACACACACATATATATATATATGAAGAAATATAGTTTTAAGGTGTGCTATATTTATGGGATAAAGTGCTCAATATCAGAGATAGAGCGTGCGTAAATATAAATATAAAAGTGAACATTGGAGTCAACACTCAGAGGCGACAGGTTGTTTCGTACTAGACGCAATTGTCAGGCCGCCTAACGATTGCGTCAGCCTGTCGCCTCTGAGTGTTGACTTCACATGTTCATATATATATATATATATATATATATATATATATATATATATATATTATATATATATATATATATATATATATATATATATATATATATATATATATATAAGAAAATGTGAAATTTCTTGAATACGCAGGGTGATGTAATACACACTGGTTTAAAGAAATAATGAAAATATGGCGTCTATTTCAAATACGAGAATCAACTATAATAACGTTTGAAGTAATAAAAAAATATCAGATTAAAAAAAAAAAAATATAAACAAACTCTATCGTTCGAATTTTTAACATTTTTGACGTTGGAATTCTTCAAAATCGGATAATTTTTAAAATCGATTTCGATGAATTTCCTCTCTCTGAGGCAAAAGATATTCAATTACGCTGATTCCCAAAGAACAAATATGGCCGACATATCCAATACCATTTGTAAACAGTTGTTATTAACACCAACTTACTTTTGTTTTCTTACCTATTGTGTTAACTGACTGTATTTGCAGTCAAGTTCGTAAGACGTGCTTAAGGAGTGCATAAAGCAACTAATCAGTAACACTAAAATTGTAAATAAGAAATGACTAAAACCTAATTAATAATAATAATAATAATAATAATAATAATAATAATAATAATAATACTTAAATGAAGAACGCAATCTAAGAAAAGAAAAAAAAATACAATGTTTGACAATGATAAACAATATTTCGACAGTAATATCTGCCTTCTTCATGTTATATTAAAAAATATATATATAAAAAAATATATAAAACAAACAAAAATTTAAATCTTTCTACAAACGTTGCTTGTCTGCGATTTATTACTGTTTGAATGCGGTAATTGTGTCCCAAGGCTGAAAAAAGTGTGGAAATGGGGCAAGGCCTGTCGATACTGTCTTATAGCGATTTTCCAAAATCATGGGGCACCCAGTGAGGCTCGAACTCACTATTCAGTCGTAAATGTTCTAGCGAGACAAGCTTGCTAACCATTACACATGCCTCGAGGGGCCCAATAGTGATTTTTCAAGCGTAGTTTGATGTGTCACAAGGTCGAAAGTATGGGGTATTGATTTTCCAAGAGAAGCTTAGATGTGCCACAAGGCCGAAACTATTGATCACCCAGTGAGGATCGAACTCACTACTCACTCGTAACTGTTCTAGCGAGACATGCTTGCTAACCATTACACCACCTCGAGGTGCACAAAGCGTAGCTTGGATGTGGCACAAGGCCGAAAGCAGAGGGAAAAGATTCAAGTAGACTAATTGAAGGGATTCCTGGAAGTCCATGCCTCAAAGAGATACAAAAAAATGTTCTCACAAGTACAGCCCACACTTTACGAAGGGCTTTATCTATTTAATATATTTTTTTTGTCAGTGGAAAGTGTCATGATGCCATTTCTAACCTTAGGTACTTGGGCGGGGCCCGGAAAGAAATGTGTACAAGCCAGATGTCACAGGAAATAAAAATTAAAAAAATAAAATAATGATGCACGTTCTGAGGAAAATATGATGAAACTGTCGGCCTTATCATCTCAGGATGACCGGAACTGGCAAAAAAATGAATATACCCACAAACATCAAGGGAGTGACATACGTGCACTGGAAGATATACACGAAGCACAAAATCGAAACCACTGAGAGATGGTATGAGCACGAACCAGACATAGTTACCCAAAATAAGGATGAAACTATCCTCTGGGACATGCCAATTCAAACTGACACAGAAAAGACAACAGACATCATAAAAGATAAAAGAGGCATTGAGGAAATGAACAAATCAGCATATCCCTACACATGGTCAGAGGAACGAGACAATAAGCCTCAGTAGTTCAAATAAAGTCTTCAGTTTCGTCAGTTGGCTGGTTGGTTTAGTCGCATATCAACACCTTTATAGATTATTTAACGCCGAAATATAAGTATTTTGCACGCACTTTTATTTTACTATTGGACATAATAATGGTTTAGAGATCCAAGTATTACTAATTAATCCATAGCTGGGGAGAAGAGGTGGATTCATGCCTTTTCCAAGGTTATTTGAGCGCCAGTGAATATAACGAAACCAATCGGAAATTATTTATTAATATATTTAACTTTAGGCAATAATGGTTTTAGTGAAACAAGTCTTACTAATTAACCCATAGCTGGGGGAGAAGAGGTGAATTCATGTCTTTTCCAAGGGTATTTGCTCGTTAGTGAATATAACAGAATATAACAGAACCGACTTGAAATGGAACTAATAAACAATTCCGAGCCATTATCCATTAACCTCCCCCCCCGCGCATCCAAGGTTACGGCACCTGGTATTCCCATCTAGGTACTGACCAAGTTCGACGTTGCTTAACTTTGTGAGCCGGTGTTTCAACGTGATATGGGCGTAAGAACTTTATACCGCCCGCAAATACATGTTTACAGCACCCGGTATTCACAGACAGTCTCCCGTCTAGGTACTGACCAGGCTCGACGTTGTTTCAGCCGACGTTTCAAACTCATGTGGCCGTAAGAACTTCATACCACCCCGCACAGCATCCGGTGTTCAGAAGCGGTCTCCCGTCTAGGTAATGACCAGGCTCGACGTTTGCTGACTTTGATCGTGAAGGAGCCGACGTTTCAACCTGTGGCCATAAGCACTTTATTCATCAAGCTCACAGCATCCGGTATTCTCCCGTCTAGGTACTGACCAGGCTCGACGTTGCTTAACTTTGGTGATCGTAAGGAGCCGACGTTTCAAACTCATGTGGCCGTAAGCACTTCATACCACCCGCAAATCCAAGCTCACAGCATCCGGTGTTCAGAAGCGGTCTCCCGTCAAGCCAGGCTCGACAGCATTTGGTGTTAAGGAGCCGACGTTTCAAGCCATAAGTCAAATTCTCAGCATCCGGTATTCAGAAGCGGTCTCCCGTCTAGGTACTGACCAGCCTCGAACTTGCTTAAGTTTAGTGATCGTACGGGAACCGGTGTTCCAACCTGATATGGCCGTAAGCCTTTCAGTTCGGTAACAACAGACTCAATGCAAATAACAGGAAGAAATAAAATGGCGTTAGACAACGATGCATTGACAAGAAGGACAGAAAAATAATTGACTGCAATAAAACTCTAATTAGTCTTTTATTAAATTTACTTTGTAAGAAATCGAACAAATAGCAAAGTTGTCTCCCTTTTTAAATTTTTAATTTTATTTATTTACTGTTTGGTTTGACGGTCGTGAGGCTCATTCAATTCTGTTTCTTTTAATTGTGAACATTTTTGCCAAAAGTGGTTTGATGTCCGTAAAAATCTCCATTTAACTTGGTTTTATTTTTTAATTACACACACACACACACACACACGGATCACACAGACACACGCATATATGCGTATGTGGTCATGTGTGATGTCATGAGGTGCGGTGCGATTTTCGCTTCTAGCGTCTTATATGCACGTGTTTATCGTTGCTTAGAGATCATCTATGTAAACAATGACAGACTATCATCACTGTCGTGTCCGTATATTGTTTAATATGTTGTAATTGACATCTTTGATAATGGCTTATGTAAGCCGAAAGCTTAGATTGTATTAAAAAAAATATGGATCAATATTGTGAATTTCTTTCTTCGTTCAATGATAATGTTATTAAACTTATTAGACGTTATGCAAAGAATTTACATAAAATAAATAAACAACACTTGTTTATATTATTTAATGAAACGGATATATATATGTATATATATATATATATATATATATATAAAGAGAGAAAGAGGGGATTAAAATAAAAACTAGTCATAATATATCCAGATTAAATTATATATGACGAAGCGCGTTTCATGCTCATTTACAAAAAAATCACAAATATCAGTTAAATTAATTTTTTGTCTTAGCAATTCACCTCTGAAGATGATCTTGGATGAGTTTGAAATATTTTGGAAAATAAAAGAACAATGGAGTCTTCCTTAATTAATATCAACATTAAGAAGTTGATCTGAGAATTGGAGAGGATTAATGTATTATATATATATATATATATATATATGTGTGTGTGTGTGTGTGTGTGTGTGTGTGTGTGTGTTTTCTGTGCGTGCGTGCATGTGTATTTAGGCAGCAGATTCTCTTCTAGGCATGTCTGACTGAATAAAATAAAACATAATGTCTGCTTATTTTGATCATAATCCTTTCATATTCACGAATATTTTTCCGTATATTCGTGAATATGAAAAGATTATGATCAAAATAAGCACATATAACGTTTGTCATTTATTCAGGCTCACACACACATATATATGCACATTATATATATGTGTGTGTGTGTATGTGTATGTGTGTGTGTTTGTAAAGGGAGACGGATAGACAGAGAAAGAGAAAAAAAACACACACACTTCTTTACCGATATAAAAATAACCAAAATGAGAAAATCGGCAGTAGACCGAAAGATTATAACAAGTTTCGTCTACGAATCTCTGGAATCAGGGTGCTAAATATTACACGAATCAGCTAAACGACGAATCTGATATTTGTATTAATACTATATATATATATATATATATATATATATATATATATATATATATATATATATATCTTGTGACAAATTTGATATTTGCATTTGTCAAATCCGTCAGGTTTTCATCGCGGCTTCAATCAATTGCATATCTTGCCACACTGATGAGCTGTGATACAGAAAAACAGTCTGTATGTGGAGGTATATATGATCACTTTCGTAGAGTGAGCACTTTGGAAGTAAAGGAAATTGTTGATTACTAATGATTAATGATAAAAGCTCTTTGCTGCGAATTCAGCCCCTCTGGTAAACAGTAATGCTTATATCGCGTATACAATGCGTTAAAAATTCACGTTTTCCGTAGCGTACGCTGATGGCTTAAGGGCTAGAGCCTCCGACTGATGTGAAATCGGTCGGGTTGTGCTACCAGTTTGAAGCAATCGCATGTCTAGCCACATAATGAGCTCTGGATGACTACATATATATATATATATATATATATATATATATATATATATATATATATATATATATATATTGGTTCCAAAATTCGCTTGAAGATGAAACAGAACTAATGCTTTTGATTTAATTATATAATTAAATTTGAAGTTTTTGAAACATGGTTATTACTGTGTGCGAAAAAAAAACTATATTTTAAATCAGTTAATTTATAATATTTATGCTCTGTAAATTTACATTGAGCACTGTTTTGTAAAAATAAAAATAAAAAATATCAATAAGAACACCGGATTATATATCTTTCTGTTCTTTTATATATATATATATATATATATATATATATATATATATATATATATCTTAAAAGACAATCATGAAAAGATATTCATACCTCCCTTGAAAATGCGTAATGAAGTAGCCGAAGCACTTGGGAAATAGCCACTACGGACAATTTTTACATTCCCTTACCCACCACCCCCAAGTTACAAGTTTAAGAATATTAGAAAAACTCAATAAAAAAATTAATCAAATTTTCCTTGTCTTTTACATTGAACGAGACATGCTTGAAAGAAAGATTGGTGCCCAAATCTCCATCATATATACAGGGTGTCCATAAAGTTCGTGTGCACTTTAAAAAATTATAACTTTATTTGTATTTGCGATAGAAATAATCTGTAAAAAAATGTTATAAAGTTTAATGTACCTCGTTTTAAGTACAGCTAAAGTAACTGATGTGATTTCAGGCATTACTGTAAATCAGTTGGCAAATGTTTTCCGTGAATTGCAAAATCATATTACCCTTTCTATTGCTAATGATGGAGGACATTGGAAAACTTAAATAAAATTTCAATAAAATCTAAAAAAAAATATAGATTTACTTCTTTCTAATTCTTTTTACAAATTATTTCTAACGCAAATACAAATAAAGTAATTTTTTAAAGTGCACACGAACTTTATGGACACACTGTATATATATATATATATTATATATATGAATGATATAACGAGATATATATATATATATATAATTTTGTATAATTTTATACATCAACAAACAGTATTTAGAAAAACTGACAAACTGGAAAATATGTGTATTGGCAGCTGTTATCCTCATCTTCATTGCCATATTCTCCACATTTTCGCCGTTATACGCTCTGGGTCTACTCAGTGGATCTAACCAACGTCTTTATCCACTGGGCCATATATGTCCTGGAGGAGTGGATAAAGACATTGGTTAGATTCAGTGACTAGACCCAAAGATTTGTGAGTTCAATACCAGGTCACATCAGTGGTGAATAAAAAAACTTGGAGAGTTGAGTTAAAAGAAAATAACTGAGAAGAGGCATGGCACGTGGAACGAGAACACTCTCCCCCCCCCCACCTAGGTGGACGAAATAAAGATGTCTGGTTCGAAATTCCAATCAGCTGAATAAGGCCGGAGCGTACAACGTCCGAAACGTTGTGAATATGGCAATGGAGATGAGAATAACAGTCAGAGTAATGTAAATAATTTAAGTAATAATACCTCATGTCAGAGATTTAGACAGAGGTCTGTGTGTGTTTGTGTGTGTGTGTGGCGGTTGGGGTTATAATGAAACACGTCCATACTTGCGCATTTAGCTTCAGACAAATACCGATGCTTGCAAAATCTCTTTTTCACTCTTTATCTTGCACGCACGTGTTAGCTCGTGTGCACTACGCATGCGCCAAATCTGATCGGGGAAAAATGAACGTCACGCATAAAAGGTCTGCCAATAATACTGATTGATTAATCAATTAATGTTGGATCAATTTCCCACGCCCTGTAACGGATTCACGCGACTCTTTGTTTTCACCTTCTTTTCCTTATTTTTCTTTGAATTTCACTCACCCTGACCGACACTTCAATTTCCATTATTGAGTTTCGATTTCTAGTTCGAAATGTTCCGTTGTTTTTACACCTCATCACAGAAACCCCGATCGCTAACCATTTCTCCTCAACCTCTCACCTGCCTCCACCACTCCCACCATCGCCACTACTATTACTTTTGCTGCGTAGCAGCCATAGAAGTGAAGGTTACTTCCACAATGAATGACAACTATATGTACCAGCGGAAAAAAAATGAACGCACTCATATAAAGTCGATTATTACATTTCTTACCAAGACAAGTGAGTAATAAAATTCGCTTATTAATACAGAATATTAATACAGGTGTACATATGTACATTATATAAGTCAAAAATGATTTAGTATTTTGTTGGGTAGACTTTTGCTTTAATAACTGCTTTAATTCATCATACCATGCTATCGACTAAATTATTTAGTAAGCCAAAATCCTTCGCCAGATTTTTCAAGCATTCCTTTAATTCGAGAAAAAAAATCATCTTCTGTGTTAAATTTCCTATTACGAGCACGCAAGTTCATTATCGACCAAAGGTTTTCAATTGGGTTAAGGTCAGGACTCTGGCTAGGTCACTGGAAGACTTGCAATTTACCCACGTCGCACTTCCTCTCTAGATAACGTTTATTCATTAAGGCAGGATTGTTATCGTTACTAAAGAATTTTGGACTTGTATAATGTACATATGTACATCTGTATTAATAATCTGTGTTAATAAACAAATTCTATTACTCACTTGTCTTGGTAAAATTTAAAAAATCGACTTTCTATGGGTGCGTCAATTTTTTTTCACCTACCGAGTTTAAATAGTTTTACATTATATATATATATATATATATATATATATATATATATATATATAAGTTAACATTGAAGTCAATACCTAGAGGCGACAGACTGTTTCATAGTAGACGCAATCGTTCACTTTTATATTTACACGCTCTATCTCTGATATTGAGCACTTTATCCCATAAATATAACACACCTTAAGAGTATATTTCTTCATATATATATATATATATATATATATATTATACAAGAGGGATTAAAATTACGTTAATGTAATTCTTATTCCTATTCTATACAATATGTTGCTCTGATTAAATCGTTGAACTCTCTGTGTCAATCAGTTTTAATATTTTATATTGTATCAATAGGATTCACT